ACCCAGCGATGCACAGGGGTTACTCCTGGCTCATGCAATCAGGAATGAGTCCTGGCGGTGCTCAGGGAACCATACGGGACGCCAAGAATTGAACCCTGGTCGGCAGCGTGCAAGGCAAACGCCCTACCCTCTGTGCTCCAGCCTCCAGAACTGACACTTTTAAAACAGCTGTTTCCTGAGAATTCCCTGGTGCCTCAGTTTCTCACTAGAGCATCTGGAAACATTTCCATTATTTTCTAGTCTGGCTTCCGCTCAAATCCTCTGGAATCCAATCTTTGCCTTCTCTCTTTAGGGTTTCTCCTCAGCTCCCCACTCTCTCCAACTCTCCTCCCTCCGTCTACCTACTCCCACTATCTCATACCCCACTGGAAGCTCCAATTACTCTCCAACCATAATTGACAAATTCTTTTAGATTTGGTTCCAGACACTACTTAGCCGCTTAGCAAGCTTGCTGGATTGTCACAAGTACTTCATATTCAATAAGCAAACCAGAACTCAGATTCTTCTAAGAAATCGTTTCCTCGATGCCAAGTTGAGCGAATGAGTGTCTCAAATGCGTGAAAAACGGTATCTCCTGTGGAAAACAAGGCACGGGCTTTTAGGTTCCGAACTTTCGGGAAGGTGGGGATGACGCTTTTCCGGATACAGAGGAGTTCAGGCAGAAAAGTTGGACATCACCTTTTCCCCCACGCGCCTCGCCCAGGAGCCGACAGGTCCGCGGGTGGGCGGGGCCTGAGGAGAGGGGCGTGGCCGGGCCGGCGCCGGGCCGCGGGGTCTTCTGGGGGCGCCTCCCAAGGCTGTGCGCGTGCGCGAAGATGCGCCGGCTCGGGGGCGTCTGTGCCGGGGGCTCGGCGGTGGCCGGGCGTCTGTAGTGGTGGCGTCGTTACCGAGGTAGCGTTCAGCTGTCTCTGGCCGGGCCGGCGGTCCCTCTGCTGCCCCTGGAAGCCGCTGCTGGGAGAGACGGCGCTGCAGCCTCGCTGGGAGCCGAGCTCCGAGGTGGCCCGCCGGAGGGCGCCCGGCACTCACGGTTCGTTTCCCGGGGCTGGGGCTCAGGTAACCTGGGTTTTCCCTCCCTGCCGCTCCCCGCCGCTGCTGTGGCGATGATTGGAGCAGGACGGAGGCCGAAGCGGCGGCGGCGGCGACGGCGGCGGGTCACCGTGTTTCTTCGCGATCCCCAGGCTTTTCAGGGGTTTTGAAGGAACGGAAATAGTGGGTAGTAAAGAGGCTCAGACTCAGAGATGGGAAGTAGATACGTTTGTTGGCAAGTGAAAAGGGAGAGAGCTGGGGCTGGAGCGGATAGGGTGTTTGTCTTGCACGCGCGGACCCGGGTTCGATTCCCAGCTTCCCGTTTGGCACCCCGAGCACCGCCAGGAGATTTCCGAGTGCAGAGTCAGGAGTAACCTCGGAGAATCGCTGGGTGTGACCGAGAGAGAGAGAGAGAGAAAGAGAAAAGAAGAGGAGAAGAGAAGAGAAGGAGCTCCCCCAAGTGGGGAGCAACTTAGGACCGAGTCAAACGGAGTTTTGTGTGCGCCCCTTTATTATTTTATTTTATTTGCTTTTTGGGTCACACCCGGCATTGCACAGGGGTTATTCCTGGCTCGTGCACTCAGGAATTACTCCTGGCGGTGCTCGGGAGACCATATGGGATGATGGGGATCGAACCCAGGTGGGCTGCTTGCAAGGCAAACCCCCTACCAGCTGTGCTATCGCTCCAGCCCCTGTGTGCCCCCATCTAAAGGCTCCAGGCATTCCTTACTGGTTGACAAGGATGTCTCACTCACATTTTTTTTGCCCCTTAGTGTCCCAGTCGGCCTAGGCTCCAGGACGGAGTTTTATGGTCCTGGAAATCTCTGACCACTGGGGCACGACTTTGGGAATGAAATGTGTCAGGTCAGTGAGGGAAAGACGGCAAGGGGACACGGTGGTTTCCTCCTTCACTGCCAAGGGGAAACAAATCTTTCAGGCCAATTATTAGTTGCCAATTACCTCAGTCTCCCAGTCAGCCTAGGTTCCAGGATTGCCCATTATTTTAGTTCCCCCGGCAGCCTGAAGTCGAGGGCAGAATTTGACGTCATTGGGAAGCCCCCTGGATGCTGAGAAAGAGCCTCTGGGGGTGGAATGTATGTCAGGTGGATGGGGGAGGGATGGAAGGAGAGATGGAACATCTGGAGAGAGAAGACTGTGGCTTCCTCTCTCACTGGCAAAGGGAAACTGAGGCTTTCCCTTCAGTATTAGGGGCTGCTGAAGGAGGGAGGCTTCACTGCGTGAGGAAGGCTTCACTGGGAAACTGGACCGCCTAAATAAGTGTAACTTCCCCTCTGTCCCGTCTGTCAGGAGTGGGCAGTCTCCAGAAGCTCGTCCTGCAGATACGCCTTGGTCAGTTCGTTGGTTTGAGAATGACATAAAGGACCTTCCAAGATAGAAGGTGCAACCAAATCTTCTAGACAACAAATTGCTCTTCTCCTTGCACTCTCATCCCCCATCCCCCCACAAAGAAAAACTTAAAACTGGACAAGTTTTGCGGATTTCAGATACCCGTTTGCAGATTGCTTTCTGTGTCTGAGCTTTTTCTAAAGACTCATCTCAAGCTTCTCCCCTCCCTGTGTCCTATGGGATGAGGAACCAAGATGTACTGACACATACCATCTTTCCTCCATAATTAATTCCTCTAGCTATAAAATTCTTCAAACCAGTGTCATCTGTTAATCTTTCGATTCCTATGCCTGAGCCTTGCTGCCCCCCCCCCCACACACACACAGGTTAACTCAAAATTCTAACTCTTCTTCCAGATTACCTTCATCTGCAAAGGCTTATTCAAACCTTTGAGTTTGAACTGGATGGTTCTTGATTTCCTTTATTCCAGTATTCACTTACAGGCTCCTTAAGCTCTTCATGACAAATGCTTCCATATCATGGAACATCTGTCATTCAAACTTTTCTTCTTTTGAAATGTTTCATAACATCTTGAAATTTTGCCTGTTCTAGTTCTATAATTATGTACGGAGTAATTTATTAATTTTGCTTTAACCGAATTTTTCAGTGTTTTCTCACTTCTGTATTGAATATTAAAAATTCACATCATTTTTATTTATGTATGAAGGGCTTTGCCATTCTTAATAGTAGAACTTGAACTGTGGTCTGTAAATTTTGTAGTGCAGTTTTTAAGGTTTTTTTTTTAATTTTACACTTGTACTCTTTCCTTTTCAGATCTAAGCATTTTGGAAGTAATGCTTAGTAATGCTTCAAAGTAAACGCTGCAAAATACTCCCAAGTTTGTTGGTGTTAACCTCTGGTTTTCCAGAGTAGAATCACTCATAATTGAGCAAGCTTTTCAAGGAACCCTGAGAGTTGTGCCCATAGAATTGTTAGAGGAGATACTAACTCGTTTTTCAGTCAAACTGCTTTCTACTTATGTGGGGATCCTCTTCACTCCTCCTCACTTAACCTGTCTTCTGTGAAGACTTCAAATAAAGAAAAATGCCAGTCACCCCTCTGGTAGCAAGAGTTTTCTGTCCAGTAACCTTTAGTCTAGATGTTTAGTTAGGTTTAAAGTCATCCAGGAGTGCCTTGAAGACTGTCCTATAGTGAGACCTACCTAAATAATAACTTTTGGGAGAAGGGACATTCCAGCTGTGCTTAGGGCTTACTACTTCGCGCTCTGTGCTCAGGGGCTATGCCTAATGGGCTTGGGGGACAAAATTCGGTGCTGGATATCAACTCAGGTGTGTGTGTGTGCGCGCGCACACACACATGCAAAACAAGCAACTTACCCTCTACTGTCTCTCTAGTCCTAAATAAAAACTTAAAGACTGGGAATGGGATTTTTTGTTTTTTTTTTCTTTTTGGGTCACACCCGGTGATGCTTAGAGGTTACTCCTGGCTCATGCACTCAGGAATTGCTCCTGGAGGTGCTCGGGGGACCATATGGGATGCTGGGAATCGAACCTGTGTCGGCCATGTTGGCTGCGTGCAAGGCAAACGCCCTACCCGCTGTGCTATCGCTCCAGCCCCGGGAATGCTTTTTTATTTTTGCCTTGATAGTGCAATTACTCACAGATATTTATTCTCAGATTTTGTAAATAATTGTCCTTTCTTTGATTTGCATGTTTGTTACCAGTTCTACTCATGTCATATAATTTTATTAGCATTGTCAGGAGAACTTGAGTTTTTGTGAGTTTTTTTTTAGGTATTGCCAGTATGAAATGTCTTGATAACTTAAAATGCCCTGCCTATAGGATATTTGTTTTGCTTAAAAGCAAAAAATGAGTTTTCTGTTAAAAAAAAGCTAATTACAATTAAATTGTGAGGTATTATCAAAGAAGTATTTCAGTTATCACGTTTTTGAGTTATGTTTTTCTCTTTTACTTTTTGAACTTTGGGGCTAGCTATACCTGGTGGTACTCAGGGGCAACTTCTGGCCTCTGCTGTGGTGGGTGGAGGCACATTACACCTGTCAATGCTTGGAGGACCATCTGGTGCTAGTAATCAAACTTGGGCTGGCCATATGCAAGGCAAGTGCCTTAATTCCTTTATTCTTCGTTCTACCTTCTGTTTTTCTCTTTCATGAGAAGTTGTTGGATGAGTAAACTTTTACATTTGAGGATGGAGAATTCCTAGTTTCCTTTGTTTGTTTGTTTGGGTGGGTGGGTGGGAGGCACACCGGCCTGTTCTTAGAGCAAACACTTGGCTCTTTGCACAAGGACCATGCCTGGCAGGGCTTAGGGGAACAGATGTGGTACAGGGATCACATCTGGGTCAACCACATGCAATACAAGCACCATACCTCCATCCTATCTCCCCTACCCTTTTTGGGCAATTTTAAGATTACTTGTACTATTTTGTCAACACTATGCTAATTTATATTGACTGTCTTGGTCATAATTTGTGTTCTTTTTCAGTTTCTCCATACTTGTCTTTGTGTCTGAAGCTCCTGCAACTTTTCTCTTACTGAAAATCACTCTGCATATTTATATGGAAGTGTTCCCTTATGCAAACCTGAGATTTATCAGAATCTTCTGGTAAAACATTTGAACTACACTAGGAAGATGCAACTTTTGAGCAGGCTAATGGCTATCTCAAAGCCCCAAAATCTGACTTCTTATGAACAAAATGAAGTTCTTGGAGCACATGTATTTTGGAAACAGAAAGCCATCCCTGTCTTGGAGATGTATGATTCTGAGGCCTCTCGTCAAAAATTTAGACAATTCAAGTATTTGGAAGTTTCTGGACCTCACGAAGCCCTGAGCCAACTCTGGGAGTTTTGTCTTCAGTGGCTAAGACCTGAGATTCATACAAAGAAGCAGATCCTAGAACTCTTGGTGCTGGAACAGTTTTTAACAATACTGCCTGAAGAGGTCAGGATTTGGGTGAATTTACACCATCCAAATAATAGTAAGGATATGGTGACCTGCTTAGAGGATGTGATTGAAATGCTTAACGTAAAAGGTAAGTATACAGAAAAATAGAGGCAGACTAGTTAACCCTTCCCATAGGAAAAGACATTATCTTTTTCTGAAGCTGGAGGGTGTCACAGGTCAGGCTGTGAAGGACTTTACAGTATTGGAAACCTGAACATTGTTCCCTAAGCACGAGAGATAGTGAGATTTCATAAGTTGGTAGGAGAGGTAAGTGATTTGAGTTGGCTTTTTAAAATAGCACTGTTACGGCAGGAGAGGGGATATGTTCTTTCTTTGCATGCAGCCAACCCGAGTTTGATCTTGGGCACTGCATATGGTCATCTGAGCATGACTGAGAGTCCCCAGAGAACAGAGCTGGGTAACCCCCTACCGTTCCCCCCCAAAACAAAAAAGCACTGTTGATGTTTGTGAAACAGGGGTCAATAAATGATCCACAGAAACCAGGTACATTTTTGGTGATATTTTGGGGGGATATTTTGGGGAGTCATAGCCACTCATTTACATGCTTGTTTACAGTTGCTTTCATGCTGTGACCAGAGCTGGTTATAGCAGAGACTATACTTCTTGCTGAGCCAAAAATATTTAGTGTCTAGAACAAGTTTATCAATGTCTTACATGAAAAGTGGACCCAAGATTTCTAAAATCAGGAAAATCAGGTAAGAGACTAGGGTAATAGATCAGATATTAAAGAAGAAGGGAATATTGGGAAAACAAAGGACTTTGAACCTAAAGGATTTATTAACTACAGGTTAAGCTGGATGTAAGGATTAGAAGAAAGAAAATGTATTACAGAGAATTTGACAATATACATATATATATTTTTTTACTTTTAATGGACTGAGTTTTAGAAAGTTGTAAAATTTTAAGAAGTAGATGGGCAGGGGAAAAGTAGGGAAGGAAAATATTAAGGGAGAGCCTGACACCCTGTCATCACCCTGAAGGTTCATCAGCTTTGCACCTTTTCAATACATCTCACATTTCTAAGAAAAATTAAAATAAGTCAGTCTTGTATGGATTCCAACAGGAGGATTGAGCAGACTGAAGCTTTACAAAGTATTGCAGTTCTGAATAAAGTTAGGCTCTTTTATTCGCCCAGAATTCACATGGTATGTTGATGATAAATTCAGGTTTTTAAGCACCCAGTTCTTCCCTGATTTGTAAAAATGAACTGATAAACATACTTTCCCAACCCTCTAATACTTTGAAGATGTCTTCCACAGCATACTTCACATGCTGATTTTAGCCATGTTGATACCATCAGGTGTATATTACTTAAAATAAGGTTTATTTTCAGTTATTACGTTGATCATAATTTATAACTATTCTGTGAGAGAAATTAGCTTCCAGAATTATCTGTAGTTAATTCAAGCAGTGGTTTGAATTATCTTTGAATTCAGTTACACATTCACAGTGGAAGATTAGAACTTTTGTTATATAATTGCATTGGTTTTTGAATTTTGTGGTTTAAGCCTATGGATAACATAATACTAGCCACTTAGAAGAAAACAGCCCTTCTATTCAGATAGAGAAGGGAGCACCAAATAAAGGATGTTTGGAGGATCCACCCAGGAGGGGAGATGCATGTCGAAAGTAGACTATGGACTGAACATGTTTGCCACTCAATGCCTCTTTTGCAGACCACAACACCCAAAAGGAGAGAGAGAACACAGGGGATTGCCCTGCCACAGAGACGGGGGGATGGGGGGATGGGGGTGGGAGGGATATTATCCATGGTGGTGGAAAATGGGCACTGGTGGAGGGATGGGTATCTGATCATTGTATAATTGAAACCAAAGCACAAAAAATTGTAAATCTACAACTTTAAAAAAAATAAAATAAAATAAAGGGGAAAAAAAAAATGTAAAAAAAAAAAAAAAAGAAGAAAACAGCCCTTGAGTAGAATTCTCCCTAGTGTGTTTGAGGGAGGGTCTGGCTGAATAAAATGTTTATAGCTTCCAGTAATATTAGTTTGTGATGGCTAAGTTTTAAGCATTAGCTCTGAAAGACTTAAAATTCCTTTTTAAAATTTGCTTTAACTGCAGATTTAAAATTGTTTTACTTTGGGGCTGGAGTGATAACAGCGGGTAGAGCGTTTGTCTTGCACACGGCCCAACCCGGGTTCGATTCCTAGCATCCCATATGGTTCCCCGAGCATCAGGAGTATATTGTGAGTGCATGAACCAGGAGTAACCCCTGTGCATCACTGGGTGTGACCCAAAAAAACAAACAAAAAAATTGTTTTACTTTTACGCTCAGGGACAGAGTGATAATATAGCAAGTAGGGTGCTTGCCTTGCAACACAGCTAACCCAGGTTCATATGATCAGCATCCCATATAGTACCCTGAATACCTCCAGGAGTGATCGCTAAGAACCACCAGGTGTAGTTTCACCCTCTTCTTTCTAATTCAGTAGTTAGTCCTAACCTCCTGGAAGAATTACCAGCTATTTTTAGATCTTTTGACAAAGTGTAGAATCTGGGCCTCCATCATTGTAGCGTCTGATATTTTTCAAAGTTCTAAAGATAATTCTCAAGAAAAGCATGTTAATAGCCCAATGATCATTTAAAGTTTCTTTAAAGCACAGCTACAACTTGTTTCATTCATGTTCTCATCATTTTCTTTAGCGCCATCCTGCAAAGATTCTGTCCTACTCCAGAAGGAGAACAATGAGAATAAAGACATGGAAACACACTCTCAAATAGGCATATGCCAGGTAAATTCACGTTTCAGTCTACTGTTCATGCCTTTCTTTTTTGATCTTCAAATTTTTGTCAAGCACAGTTCATCAAAGGCCGTGAGACTCTTACTCTCTCTCAAGACAAAAACCTATTTTAGTTAATAGGTTTCTAAAACATTTCATTTTTGCATATTGCCTGTGTGCGTCTATTCCCTGAAGATTAAAAATGATAATTGAAACTATAGAATAGATCCTACCCAAAGAAGTCTGATATTTAAACTGAAGAAAGTCAAGTGCAGAATCCTGAACAATGTTGTTGTCTAAGCAAGAGCAGATGAAACCTCAAAGGATCCAAAGTGGTAGATGAATATCAGGAAAAATACATCACTCAAAGTGAAAACAGAATATTTCAAGCTAGATGTTCAGTAAAACTCAGTCTAAGTACTTATTCAGAAAGGTAAGCTAGCAGAAGGGAAGAGCCGGTGTGTGTGTGTGTGTATAACTGAAGGTGCCAGTGGTAACAAAGTTGTTAATAGTAGAGAGAAATGCAGTAATGGATGGTTGGAGAACTTGATAATATATGCGGGAACTTATTTATAAATGATTATTAATGCAGTACATAGTATATCAGGCACTTCTCTTAGGGCTGGGGGTATGATGTAAATAAAAGAATATTCCTGCCTTGAGGTGGTGGCATTCTAGTAAATCATTCTAGTAAGATCATTGTCATTGCCAATAGTATTAATTATTACAAGGAAAAGATAAAGTATATTACAGCAAAGATTTGACTAGGAGAATCCCTCTTTGGGTCATAGATTTCGAAGGACTGTCTGTCAAGGAGATACTGAGTGTAAAACCTGCATAAAGAATTAAGTTGTATTTCTTAATTGGCCTCATTCCTCTGTTAGCAGAGTTTACATCCTGAATACAAACTTCCCTCAAAACAACCCTAGGTGCTTTCTGTTCTTAACTTTTTTAAATATAAATTACTTATATTCTTTATTACAGCTCTTTGTTCTTCCTCAACCAAAATGTAAACTAGAAAAATATAAAGATTAAGGATTGCATTCAGTTTTTCCTTTTGCAATCTCCTAGAGTTGATAAGTCCTTAAGAAAACTTGATTATTGTGGCCATCTGCCCTGTTCTTTCCCAATTTGTTTCTTCTCTGTTAATATATTGAAAAGTAACCTTGATTAAAAATGAACCTAATGTTGTAGGAACCAGTGACATTCAAAGATGTGGTTGTGGAATTCAACAAAGAAGAGTGGGGGCAACTGGACCCTGCTGTAAAGAATCTTTACAGGGATGTGATGCTGGAGAACTTTAAGAATCTGAATTCATTGCATAAAGGTGGCTTTTCCATATTTACTGAATCTGCCCTTAAAGATTCTCTTGAAATCTCTTTCTCTACTATTATGAACTATAGGACAGCCAATGTAGTCAAGGTTTTGTGGGTTTAGATTGAGATGTCCTGATATGCTTTGGGCACAGTAGTAGAATCCTGCTGATCTGGTTGAATCCTTTTTGATGTAGAGCTAGAAATTACAGGCCTGTGGTGGTTTCTCAACTTTTTAGCAGTTCTTGGACTACATCATTGGGATGAAATATTCTCCTATATAAAAATGGGAATTATATTTTTTGGTTTTCATTTTCTCCTTGGTTAGAACACCTACTACCTAAGCCAGTTAATGTCTCCAGTTTGGAGAGTGAAAAAAAAAGATGGATGACGGAGCAAGAAATTCGACAAACAGGTTTTGGTAAGAACTAGTAAATATGAGACATTTGTAAAGTTTCTGTTTGTTAAATACACATTGTGCAATCTAGAATTCTAGTCAATAGTTCGGGAAATAACATTTAAATTTTGAAGAAGAAAAATAGTCACCACTGTTTTTGTTTTTTAACAGATTCTTATTCTGATGTGAACAGGCAAAATAGTGCTGTGGGGTAGTAACATAGATTTTGAGTTAAAGCTATGTGGTCTTCTTATTTCTGTAAAGTTAACAAGGGTGTCTACCACATGTTACTCTGGGGATAAAATGAGTTGATGATATGTGACACTTTGTGCACTGTCACAGTAGTGCTGTATAAATATTAGCTTACTTCACAATATAAAGTTGAAGTATGATGCTTTGCTTTACTTTTATTTCTTTGTTTTATTTTATACAAAGCCTTTATGAGCAAAGCATCATACTTCAACTTTCTAATTTAGAGCAGGTAAAAGTTTAGAAGTGTGTCAGTCATAACAAAGTCACAACTTACTTAGAGAAAAGGTCAGCTTCAAACCAATCATAGTCCTTTAGATCATATAGTATATATTAAGTGCTTGAGTTTGGCCATCAGACTTACCTTAGGTTCCTTGATTTCTCCTTGCTTTATTGAGTAGACAACTTAGTCTTGAGTTTATTTTTTATAAAATGGTGATGATAAAAGAGAAATTAAGAATTAAGGAATAAATGATCTGCCCACACCATCCAGTCTGTACTTCTAAGTCAAAGAGAAGAAAACTACAATTGTTATTCTTATTTTATTCCCAGGAGATTCTAACTTGTAGTAGTCTAGCTTCTAGACTGGGACAGTTGATAATTATTTGAAATTAGAATCACAGTCCTCCTGTTGTTCATCAATTTGCTCGAGCAGGCCCAGAAACGTTTCCATTGGAGACTTTGTTGTTACTGTTTGGCATATTGAATACATCACGGGTAGCTTGCCAGGCTCTGCCATGGGGGCGAGATACTCTCAGTAGATTATCAAGAAGAGAAAATAATTTGGCACACATGAAGTTATGTGAAATAGGAGAAATATAAGTTTGATTTTTAAATTATTAGCATTAGCGATTTGGTATATTTCATCAGAAGCTAAGGAAAATAGCAACTTTTAGGTAGGAAGAACTTTGTTAAGGGAAATAAATACCAGTGGTAAATAGAAGAACACTCAGCCTTTATTAGAACAAGTAAAATTATGAGTCCAAGAATATGTGTAAGAATATCAAAACACCTTTAGAATTAGAGGAATTTTAATCCTAGAAAAACTTCTTTATGTTACACATTTTTCTGCCTTTGTTAAATATAGAGAGTAATTGGAATTTTATGATAAACAGAAACATGAATGCACTTTTGCTTTTAACTGATTAAAAAGGTATACTGCCTATAATTGAAGAAATGTTCCTAAAAATAGGGTTAAATTGGTATTTCTAAGGCTTACAATTGGCATTGTGGGAAAAAAGACAAGATGCTAGACAAATGAAGACCATGTGTTACTTGAGTATTCTAGTTATGGATCAGTGATAGCTTGAGCTTATATGCTCTCCTTTCAGAGTGCATGTAGTGACATTGCACCAAATCATCTATATTCTCATATCCAAATAGCACTTCTCATATTTCATAATTTTTCTAATCTCTCATATTTACAGTGTCTTTTCCTAAATTAAGTGGTTTTTACGCCTTCCTATTCTTGGGATTTATTTATTTGTTTATTTTTACTTTCATAGATCGGGAAATGATTTTAGAACGTCAAGATTCAGTTACAAAGTCGATAATTTTTGGAGAAGAATTATGCTCTCAAGTGAATATGACAAGACAGACTGTGAGTGAAATCGCTTCTTTGGAAGCTCGGAAGAGTGACATTTGGCTGTATAGGAAACAGGAACACTGGGACATAAATTTACCACAAGAACCTTTTACTCTTAAGACAAATAGCACTAAGGAAGGAAATTTAGAATGTTGTGAAAATAAGAAAAGCTTTGATGCTAAATCAGTTAACTCAGTTATTTATATTCAAGAAGGAATATCTGTGAAAAAGGCATCCTTCAACTTCAAAACTAACTTGAAATTTAATTTGCACTCAGAAAGTAAGCAACATTCAGGTGATACGGAATGTGTAAATGCTATCAACCTGTATAAAGATGACCATCACCCACAAAATTTCCCCAAGACATTTTCCTATAAGTGCTATCAGTGTGGAAAAGCTTTTAGCCAGAGTTCATCCCTTATCCGACATCAGATCATTCATACAGGAGAGAAACCCTATAAATGTAGTGAATGTGGGAGAGCTTTCAACCGAAGGACAAACCTTACTAAGCATCAGAATTTTCATACCAAAGCAAAGACCTTTGAAGGCAACAAATGTGAAAAAGTGTTCAGTAACACTGAAGACAATTATATAAATACAATACTTTATCCTCGAGATAATTCTTACAAATGTGGTGATTGTGGAAAATTCTTCACCCGGAGCTCCACCCTTATTCGACATCAAATGATTCATACTGGAGAGAAACCATTCATATGTGGGGAATGTAAGAAAGCCTTCAACAGAAAATCAAATCTTAAGAAACACCAGAAAATTCATACTAAAAAAATACTGTAACAGAAATAAAGATACAGAAAATTCATACTAAAAAAATACTGTAACAGAAATAAAGTTCTTTAAAAATAGAGAACTCATATAGTATTTAATAAATTACTCCCATTAAAGAATTCTCTGAAGATATCCTGCATCTCGTGAATGTATTAAATGTGAGAAGGCATGATGTATTATAAGATTATTATTTGGTATAGCAGAATAAACATTATATAGAAATCTATTGTTGGATCAAAAAATGTCTGAGCATTTCTAAGCTACTGAAACCACAAGGCTTTGGGGTTAAATAATATTACCTTATGAGGTTTTGCCTATCATTGTTCTGATTTTCCATTTTCATCTGTACATACTTTTGCCTGATTGATAAAGTAGGTATGAGGAGGAGCCAAGTAATAATCTTGGAGTTGATATTTAATGCAATTTAAGCTTTTAGTTCCTACACGAAGCTCACAAGAAACCAGTATATCATAATAGTAAAGGCAAGCATGCCCAAGGACTGAGCTCTCTAATAGCAAGGAAGTTTCTGCCTTTTTGTTTCTTATAGTACTTCTGGATATCCTGGTGTGTTGGAGTTCTGGCACAGCTCCCTGACAGTCTAGACTGTTGGAAAGCCCCCAAGGCCCAGCCTTGGTGGGGGCAAACTGTTGCAGGGGAACTGGCATCCCTTATCAGTTAGCATTGCCTATAGCCAGGGACTTGAGATAGGGAGAGCCAATACCCGTAGTGTTTGTAAAGTTGATTCTTCCACCTCTGCATTAGCTCATAGAAGTCCCGTGACACCTCGTGACACTCCATCACTTCTATACGATGTAACCAGGTAATACACCTTTCTCTTTCCATCTTGTGATCTGCATGTAATGCATTCCTTTCAGCCCCTATATATCCAATGCTCTCCTCTAATAAACTTTGTCATATAAACATCAGGCCGTGACTCGTGGATGGTATCTCCCAGCTTATCCACTGCATGCATATCTTTGAGCCATCAGCCCTAGGTCGCATAATAGTCTTTGTGTTCCCAGATTTCGTTGCTGCACCCACAGCTACAATGGTGCTGGGTGGGGATTAGAGTTAAAAGAGTGTTACAAGCTGCAGAAGGTGCACATGTCCTAAATCTAAAGGCAGCCTTGAAAAACAGTTTATATAGTACTATTCTGGGCGAGAGAGACATTTGGCCTTTGTTCTGTCATTTATCCCAGACTATTAGCTAGTCAAAAATGTACCCCAGTACTCTCTAGGAGAACTGTCTCTTTATGTAATATCAGAATACCAACAGGTTCATTATGTTTTACTGTTTTGTGGGGGTGGTGTATTTTTGGTTTGTTTTGGGGAGTTTTGTTGTTGTTTGTTTTGGAGGCCCACTTGGCTGTGGGTGTTGGCTTACTCCTGGCCTCTGCAGTGAGGAATCACTTTTTGAGGTTCAAAGGGGATCGTATATGGTGTCAAGGATCAAACCTTGGGCTACCTCCATGCAAGGTAAGTACCTTACCCACTGCACTATTTCTCCAACCTCTACACCCTACATCATCCTGCCAAATGCTTCTTGAGCTAAGAAATGTGTGTCTAAAAGAATTCTTGTAGGATGTAGTGTATAATGTTGATTTGGGAGGGGAGTAGTTCTCCCAAGCAGTGCTTAAGGGTCCCTGGGGCCCCTCCCTATGTTCTTGGACAACCAGGCCAGTGGTTTAGGGGCTTGAATATGTGGTACTGCTCAAACCCTACAGTACTAGGGATTATTGGGGCTATCCTGGCAGTGCTTGAGACTCCTGGGCTATACCCAGCCATGATGCTTGGAGAGAGTGGGATGGACCATGAAGTACTAGTGATCAGTCTGGAGTCAGCCACATACAAGGCGTCCACACCTTAAGCATTGGATTATCTGATCCAATGATAATGGATTTTTATCTGTTCATACCTTACTCAAAAAAGCAGAGATATATATTAGATATATATTAGATAATATATATGGAAAATTATTGTGTTCTTGTGTTCATCTTTTATATCACAAATTATGTTAGGGCAGAATATGTCATTGATAACAGACATTCATGAAAACAAGGCAACTTTTACATGCTCCTAACCAGAGAAAATGTAGTAAAAAATCTGCAAAGTGAGCCATTTATTAAAGGGATTATATAATATATTCTGACATTTTATCTAAAGTATTTCACTTTATTTCACCTGTAAAGGTGATTAGAGGATGCTCCATCCCTCTCGGAGAGCCTGGCAAGCTACTGAGAGTATCCTGCCTGCACGGCAGAGCCTGGCAAGCTACCCGTGGCGTTCTCAATACGCCAAAAACAGTAACAATTAATGGTCCTCATTGCCCTGACCCTAAAATAGCCCCCAGTATGTCATTGGGCTACTCTAACATGTGACAGGGACTAATGGAGACATTACTGGTGCCTGCAAGAGCAAACCGATGAACAACGGGATGATAGTGTTACAGTGATTTCACTTTATGAGCTTATGATTTTCTTTGGGGTAACTAAAAGTAGTTAATTTTTTAAGTTTTACTCTCAACAGCTATTTGGGAATAAGTAAAACCACCCTCACCCCTAGTTTGTTCCTTTGTCACAAGTCAATTGATTTTGTATGTGTTTGGGTTGATTTCTGGACTCAGGGCTTGTGATTACTTAAATCTTTGTTGTTCTTTCACCTCCTTGGTTAAATTTATTCGTTGGTTAAATTTTACATTCTTCATTGTTGTAATATAAATGGGATTAGCTTATATTGCTTATATTAGTGTATAGAAACAGCTGCTTCGGTTATAAAATCTGTAAATTGCCGTTCAAAAGTAAAGTGTCTCACTAAGTAGTCCACAGAAGACAAACATTTTACACTGATTTTTCTTGCATTTATATCCTTATTTTTAAATAGTATACTTACATTATAATTGTAATTGTCTTGATTGACAATTTTAGATATTTCTCGGTTTTTATTTAGGAAACAGGAATTAGGTGCCCTTAGTTCCATCTCAGACTCCCTTAATTTCAGTGTTTTATTTGCCTATGTTCAGGGTATATATTTGTGTCTCTACAAATGTTTCAAATAACAATAAATGTACTGTAGTTGCTTTTCCTTTCTTATCCATTATGTTCTTTCTCATGGACTTAAATTGTTTGCTTTGCTTAATTTGACTATTGCTACAGTATTGCACACCTCTCTTGTCTTGAAGGCCAAGACTACTGTGCCATGGATCAAACCCAAATCATCACATTCACAATCACGATCATGATCATGACCATCCTGTTACTCGTCGATTGCCTCGAGCAGGCCCCAGTAACGTCTCCTTCGTCCTAGCCCTGAGATTTTTTTTGAAAAGTGCCGTATTCAATGCTCTTTCAGGGTTAGGAGAATGAGACCCATCATTGTTACTGGTATTTGGCATATTGGGTACACCATGGGGAGTTTGCCAAACTCTGTCGTGTGGGCAGGTTCCATTCAGTAGCCTGCCAGTTTGTCCAAAGTAGGAATGAGATAAGGTGCAGCCGCAAATGCGGCTGCGCGCTTCCGGGAGCTGAATTTTATAGTCTCTGAGTCTTGGCCGTTGATGGGATTACATGGCGCCAGGGGGCCAGTTGGTGGGTGTGACCCCTGCCTACTGGAATTTGGAGGATCTGGGTGGACGATGCTCAGCCCCGATCCGAGCAGGCTTGGAGATCTCAGCCCCGGGACCCGCATGCCTTTGTTCCTCTGCTGGTACCTTCATGCGTGTGGAGAGTGGTCTCAGCATGGTGGTGGCTGGTTCTGGAGGTCTTTGGCTGCCCGAGCCCTGGTCGGGGCAGGGAGGGAAACTCAACCTGCTCCCCTCCAAGGGGCCCCGGCGAGGACAGCCAGGCGTGGGAGCAGGAGACTCTGTGCTGTTCTCTTCTGGGAGCTGGGTTTTATAGTCTCTGAGTCTTGGCCATTGATGAGATTACACAGCGCCAGGGGGCCACTTGGTGGGTGTGACCCCTGCCTACTGGAATTTGGAGGATCTGGGTGGAGGATGCTCAGTTCCGATCCGAGCAGGCTTGGAGATCTCAGCCCCGGGACCCGCATGCCTTTGTTCATCACATTCAGAAAGCATTTATCATTTGATCCATATCCTTAACCCTGCTTAGCTTGTTATATAGTTCTCATCATTCATGAAGAGTTTTGTGAATTCACTTACTCACTGAAATTTATTTTTATCCTGAAATCAACATAATATAATGCTTTTGAGGTCACTTGAGGGCTTGTGGGGTAGAAGAGAGAAAATTTTGAGTCATGAATGCCTAGGTTTCCAACTGAGATTCATCAAAATCACATTGCTGTTTCAGCTAATACTATTTAAAAATGACCTTTTCAAAGTCTTTCTCTTTTTTTTAGTGATTGCATTGTTTAAAGTAGTACTGTTGAAGTGCTCTATATTGTTCCTAGGTATAAGAAGTCTGTGATGTGCCTTGTGGAGAATATATGTGTAAGTTTAGTGCAGGCATGAGTCATATACTATTTCCCTTGAGTTCAATGTCAAAGTATCAACAATATATATTTTTAAAAAGGTATCTTTTTAAATATATTTAGCTTTTTTATCTTCATTTTTTGGCTTAGGGCTACACTGGGCTTAGTGCTCAGTGCATTGTTCTCAGCCGTGCTGGGGAACCAAATGGTGTGGAAATTAAACTCAGAGGCTTACATATGCATATTAAATGCTCTGTCACTGAGCAATAACCCCACTTCTAAATAAGGTGTCTTTAATGAGAAGTATTTACCATAAAATCAGTTTATGTAATGATGAGTTGACAAAACTGCTATAGCCAGCTCCTCACAGGAATCTCATTCTGTATTTCCACTAAACACATGGTATATTTTCTACTATTAGGTTTGTTTGAACTTTATAGAATGTGATTACATGGACAAGAATCAACTGTACCATTTACTCAGGAATTCTTCAAGAAAGCCCTAAATCTGTATTCTAACAGTATTTAAAAGTCCATTTCTTAAGTTTTTAAAAACCAAAATCAAGAATAATCCCAAAATTGTTT